GCAGCTTAATTAGAATTGCCCGTTTAAAGGGACCGTTTGTAGCCCAATCTGATTTGCGACTAATGCACATCTGGTTCTTGAAAAGCAGGCCGCCATTCTGAATTTCTGTCACTTTAAAAAGTTGATAAAAATATACGGGCAGTATCTGGTGTATAACAAAATTAGTTTGTCAGTCATATGAAAGACATTTAAGACTGATATTCTAGGAGAGTACTGTACTGCGCGAACACCATGATTTCGCCATAACCATCCGTTTCTCTGAAGTGGAAGTTACCCACATGAAAGCAACGATGATATTTACATTGGAGATTGTATTTCAACGCTTAACATTTTAGCTCAAGAATTATCAGGAAAGTGTTTTTTTTTCCTCGTTTTCCCAAATTTTCTTGATAAAACATTTTTCTGTGAACTGCGGCGCAACTTAATAGCCAGCCGAGTCTCGCTTTAGGGGCCCACCCCGCTGCCACAGGCTAAAAAATAGCATTCTAAGCTAAGGCTCCAGCTAGTTTCAAAACTGTTAAGTTTTTGTGAGATAAAACACACGCTAGAAGACAAAGGCCATGTGTTCTATCATTCGGGAAAATGTACAACACAATTTTTTCAATTTAGTCTGGGGCTCCGAAATTCTTCTAACCGGTTTAGTTTCACATATATCATGCCCCGACTGTTCGACAAAACAATGCGATATCAAGAAACCTCGTCGACTTTTGCTTAAGAAAACCTGCCCCAGTATGCTGGTAATCTTTTTTGCACTCTTGAAATTGAATAAAAATACATTCACTACAACTAATAATTTGAAAAACACGCTTACCTCTCTCAGTTTTTCGATAATGCATGCGAGAGTTTTATCGTTATAATTGTAAAGTAGCCAGCTTGTTGCTGTGTTGATTGAACGATGCTTGTCAGTCTTTATGAAAATAAGAAGGTACGAAAACAACATAAAAGAAATCTTGCTGATTTTCAATAGCGATTGTGCTTTGAATGCAGATTTAAAACTGCACATCAAAATTAAATAGTATTGCACATTGAAAGTTACATAAGTTATGTGAAACAAGCTTAAATATAAAAAAAACTTCAAATATTCCTTTCCTTGTAATCTAGTATAATTATCTTTTTATCTTCATTTCCTTTTTAAGCTCTGACCAGTTAATTTGAGTTATGAAGAAAAATCATTGAGATGCCAATAATTTTGACATCCGAAAAGAACGTATTGTTTGGTTCGGCTGTTTTGTTCCTTATTTTAATTTTTTTTTTCTGGTGGAAGTGTATGGTTTACTCATTCTTGTTTGGGGTCTATACTGTAGTTATGCTGTGTAGTACATTAAATTGTTGTGGGTTGAAAAGCTTAATATCAGCACTCACTTAAAAATGTATGAGCAATGTTTCATTTTGAAATACCAGTCAACAACAGGTGAGCTGTTTCAAAATAAAACCATCTATTGATTTTAAAAATAGAGAAAAACGCTTTCATTTGGAGACAGGTTATGGAACGATGTTTACTTACCTTTTTTCAAGTAAAGATGCGGATCTAGGCCTGATATCATAATCATGATCATTACTACCAAATCGGATTGCAAATAAATGTTTTCGCTCCCGTGAATTCTACACGAATGAACAAGGTGTATCTGTACCGACTGACATAGCTGTCAGGCATTAATTAAAAAACATGGAGTCAGCAGTAACCATCGACAGTGTCTGTATAATTAACAGGATATCCGCGTATTATTGTACAGGGCCGGGATGTTCAAAGCTGGGTTGAACTAACCCAGGGTTTATAATGCGAAATTTGGCCATTAAGCTACAAAGCTTAAAAAGCAAATTCAGCTTAATTCTTTTTGTCTACAATTTATAGATTGGATGCTCTCAAGAGAATGGAGAAAATTGTCCGCGAAAATGTTTTTCAGCAAAAGAAAAAGAAACTTGAATTAAAATTTAACCCCGGGTTAGTGCTAGTCGGTCTTCAAACAACTAGGCCCAGAATATTAAATACTAAAAAAGAAATAGAACAGGGCGTAAGAATCGTAAATTTACACATCACTAACCTTCGCAGAGTCGTGCATTTAGCGGACTATGCTCATGGAAACAATCGAAAGTCGCTAATTCATACATTACTAAATCAAACAATTAATATCTTTTTCATAGATTTAACTGCACGTTAGTAATATCAAACTGAGCTTTACAGAACCTTACTTAAATCGATCGCTTGGTCAGCGCTTTGTTGAAATTATGGTCCGATCCACGGTCTGGTCCACGGTCCCTTACAAAGGTATGACGTCATATTACAACATGATTCAGTTTTAATCGGCCGCCATCTTGATTTTAATTTTGGCAGGGACAAGGGTAGAAGGGAAAGCCCTCTCAGCTTATGTCTCATATTTACTGACAAAATTTGGCGAAAGTAATATTGATGATAACGATAACGATAATCATGATTATAATCCAGGAGCCAGGCTCCTGTCATAATCATCATCATGAATAAATAAGAAAAAAATTGGCAAAAATATTGATAATAATATAGGAAATAATCAAGACAATGTCACATGAATGCTACATTCGAGGAGTGGTTTGGACCCTGAGTTTATCCTTTTATTTAAAGCCCGTTTACGCTCTCCACTAGTATTCAAACAGTACATCTGTTGCGATATAATTTTTGCAAGCAGATTTATTATAGGTTTCGTAGGGTAGTGGTCATTAGGCCTTTGTTTTAAAAGACATCATGATCCTGCTTTAGATACGTATTTTGATTAAAAATTTTAATGTATTGTTTTGCAGACCATAAGCCTCTTCGCTTTAAAGACCATCATGAATAAAGTTGATCTATTCATTTTTCTCTGCCACAACCATCTAACATCAATAATCAATTTGTCAAATGAAACGTAACAGCAGGAATCAGCAAGGCAAATTAATTAATTTTTCAGGTTTTAATTATTGATTGTCTGTTAAGGTGCCCTACTAAAATTGTAATGATAAGTCAATAGCTTTTTTACGACAAGTGGTTACAATGAAATAACACCGAACCAGCATAGATCTCATCAGACGCCATCATGGCGACTTTGAAAAGTGCCTTTACAGGAATACTTATCTTTTTATCTCTATTCGTAAAGGAACGGTGCGAGGGTTCACTAGGTAAGAGCAAGAAAATTATTTTTTAAATACACTGTATATACGTAGCTTTTCCTTACAGCTATTTTCCAATAACGTCGTGTTCATAAAACATCATTAAATCTAAATGCTAGTTGTTGGTTTGACTCTATCGAACCTTAGAGAACAATCTGCACTTTAAATGAAGATCTTTAACACTTTCTCATCGTTGTGAGATGCAGGAACTGAAAACAATAATCAAGGAGCCGAAGGAGTACATGGTGTTAATGATAACGTATTGTACGTAACGATAATGATTACGAAATGTAATGCAAAAAATGGGAAAAGAATTTAAAGCAAGAACTACAATTTATAGTCTATAAGAGGTCAATGCAACCACATGCACGTTTTAGAGATAAACTTTATGATTTCACTCGCGACGTAAAAAATGTAATCTTCGCCTCACATCAAGAGACTATTACAGCCCAAGAGAGGATTCTCCCCATCCCTTGATCAGAAAGCTTTATCAGTGTTCGTCCACCGAGAGCAGGGGTATTTCACTTGTGATTCTCATCACGTCATCATCACCCCTCCTCCCCCGTCCACGTTTACTAAGCACAAATAAAATCAACCTAAGAGATAAACACAAAAGCGCTTACTGTCCTTACTCATTTTGCAACACTAAGACAAAACCAGTTTTCTAAAAATTATTTATATTTTCAGCATAGGGCATTAAATAAATGTAAGTGTAAACGAAGAGTCTTAAGCTAATGAGGTACTACAAATTTCAGTAACAAAAACCTTTAATCCTCAAAAAAAAAAAAAAGAAAGAAATGATACTTTCAAAAAGTTTGGTTGTTCAGTACTATGATCTTTTCATCATCGTTCATCATAATAATTCTTCTTATCTTTTTTTTATTTTTTATCTATGTTCAGTTAGCAGTGGCGGATCCAGGGGAGAGGCCCGGGGGGCCCGCCCTCCCACCTTATTTTAAGACCAAACTGAGGCTCGAAGGGCGGAAAAAATTTTTTTGGAGACCGCCCCCCCCCCCCCCCCCCCCCCCCCCCCCTCCCCATCCCGCCCCCCCCCCCCTCCCTCCTCCTCTTTAGCCCTCTCCCCCCCACCATCTCATCTTTACTTCAGAAAACAAGAACAAAAATCACCGCCACATTATCCTCTTCTATTTGCTTCATATCTGATTGACCTGTGGCGCGAAAGTAGTTGT